TTTTCTTTGTAAAAAAGTAAACTAAATTTAATATAGTTTTCTCATTAATTTTAAAATTTAAGAATAATTTTTTAACAAGCACCCGTGTAATACACGGGTGTTGTACTAGTTTCAATTATTAGTTGATTATATAATTTTATTTACTTGTTTTTCTTTATAAAATAGTATATAATAAAAACTTTACTTTTTAACACCTTGAACAGTGTTTTTTATGTATATAAATATTTTAATGTGAAATTTATAATTCTTAATTTCACCCGACCATCAAAAGATAATTTATTAATATATAATTTAATTTTTAATTAGTATTATCAATACAAAACATATATTCAAGAGAGTTTTAATTTATTCACGGTTAAGTTGAATACATTTTATAAAAAATTATCATTATTTTAAATTATTCATCAAGATAATATAATTCAAACATAATTAATTTAAACTAGTGTGTGGCCCGTGCGATGCACGGGTAAAAAATATTACGATTGTATTATAAATTACATATATATATAACATTGATATTGTTTTAAATTAAACCCGGTTGGACACAGTCCGACCGAATGGACCAAGAACTGGTTTATAATTCGCTTAAATAAAATATTTGCTATTGAATCCGTCAACACCAGTCAATTGGACTGGTAAAATCGGTACGATTTTCTAAATAAATTTTGCTACATTTAAAACTATTGTCAATAAAATTACACATTTAAATAAAATACAGATTTATAATTTGTTTATCAATTAGTTTAAACATTTGAATTTATAAATTGTTTAGATATTTAAGTAAAATATTTCATTTAAATTTAATACAAAAAATCCTATATATATATATATATATATATTGAAATGTTTATAAATTAAAATCTGAACAAACCACAACTGATTTAATAAAATAACTTGATCGTTTCGATGACGGTCCGGTTCTAAAAACCTTTTATTTATTGTACATTAATAAAAATTATAATAAATATTATTTTATTTACATAAATATTACTAAAATGATATATAAATATTTATAAATTATTAAACATGTTGTCATAAAAGTATTGTTAATATGATTATTTGAAGGTTGGTCTGCATCACATTCACTTAATAAAGTATGTTCAATGTTAAAATTTATATTTAAGTTATTTGGTCTGGTCAAACTGATACATAACTTAGTCAGCTGAGACTAACCAAGTTGTGTCAAGTTTTTTTTTTTTTTTTTTTACTATTTTAAATATCACTTAAAAGTAATTCAATCAACCTGCACAATACCCTAATTCAATCACCCAGCTGATCCAAAGGAATTTCTTTATTTTCTGTAAATATAATTAATTTTATGAAATAAAAATATTTTATGATTCATATAATAAATGTCTGCAACAAATGATAGTATATTAAGATTATAAATTATATATATATATATATATATATATATATCTAAAGATGAATTAATTATTTTTACGATGCATATTAATAAAAAATAAACATAGTAATTTTTAAAAAAATTAATATTAATTGATTGATTATCAATTTAAAAGTTATTTTTTAGCATTCAATATCTTTTAAAGGCACAAATATAAAGATCGAGATTCTAAAATTTTTGTTATATTTTGAATTGATATTTTATAAATACAGAGACCGAGGTTTTAGTATTGTTCCTTGTTTCTAAGAAAACAAAATAAAAATAAAAACCTGCACACTTAAAAGATATTAGCCATATTTTTTAAATAAGAAAATAAACTAAAGCCCGAAATTTAAGGTAACATTTAATGTTGTATGATTTTTAAAGAAAATAATAATAAAATTAATGAAATTTAATATTTATAAACTGCATTAACTGCTAACCTATTTTTTGCTATCATTTTTTGTAAATATATTGTCTCTTTATATATATATATATATATATATATATATATATATATATAATAAAAAATATTGGTAAATTTAGTTAAGAAAAAGAAAAAAGAATCCACAAATTTAAGGAAGATCATTTCGGAAAAGGTTGATCAATCATAGGGAAAGATCATTTTTTTAAAAAAAAAAACTAACACGAATTTACTTAACAAATAGTAAAAAAATAAAATTCAATTATTGAAAAGATTGCACGATTTTCAATTGATTTTAAAAATGAATCAAAATAAAATGAGTTGGATAAGGCATAAATGGTGAAGAGATTTTGAAATGAATTTGATTGGTGTAACCCATTCAATTCTCAAATTTTAAAACCGCACTTTTTTTAACATATTCCTAAATAATTTGGATAAGACTTCAAATTAATTCCTAAATATTTTTTTAAAAAAAAAATCTTAAAATAGTATGTAATAAATATTTTCCTAAATTTTTGGATTACTATTTTTAGTTAATAGTAATTCCTTTTATATATATATAGATATTTTATTATATATTTTAAATGCTTTTATTGATGAACATAATTTATATCTACAACCATGAAATAGTAATTAAATAATCGAACTAATTTTTATAATTATAATGAATTGATTTTTTTAATTATGTCAACAAAATTACTACGAATGGGTATTATGCCTCGCAGGCGGCCTAAAGACTCAAGACACCAAGCAAAGCTAAGGCGTAGGCACTCACAGCCCTTAGCTTACCAGAAGACCACCAACAGAAACACAAGCCACAGCTACTGTCCAAGGACCTAGCCGAAACAGCACAAGAAACAAACACTCAAGCAAACTGAAAAACAAACCAACAGAAACTAACAACCAGACCACTCCAATACAAAGCAGCCAACAGAGACACTAGGAAACACAAGAAGAAAGAAAAAAACAACAGCAACTACAAACCAAAACCAAACTGCAGAAAAAGAGGACACACTATTCTAAATGCTCTCCTTAAGGAACTCAGACCAGTCTCCAACTGCCTTCTTGACCACCAGATGCTCAGGAATCAACTCTTGTTGGAATAACCACATATTACGAGTTTTCCACATCCACCATAGCAGGTATGTGGATAATTGTATTCTTCCTTCATTGATTGCCCTTTTGTCTGTTTCACATATATAATTCCACCATTCTCTAGAAGTGCAAGTATCAGTGTTGATCCCCTCCCAATTAACTGGACTTAATTTCCATATTCTTGCTGCTCTAGGGCACTGAAAACAAATATGTTCTATAGTCTCAGTTCCTTCTCCACAAGACTGGCAAATGCAGTCCACCTTCATCCCTCTCTTCCTCAGATTCAGCTTAACAGGTAAAGTGCCATTACAGCACTTCCATATAAAATGCTTCAGTTTTCCTCTAATTCTCAACTTCCACAACCTGTTCCTAGCTTTTTGACCTTGCATGCTTCTGTTGATGAAGGAGATAGTTGATGCAATCTCATTACATCTGAATTAGCTATATGTAATTTCAATTACAAACAATTGTTTGGCTATAGTATTACGCAAATAAATAAGTAATTTTTGCTAATTTTGCCAATTTTAGTATATATGAATCGTATATCAGCGGGTGGTTGACTAGGTAATTTCTTCAATATTTATACTCAATGGTCAAAGACCAAAAAAGCACTCTAATTTTTAAATCTAACAAAATTCGGCCTAAATATGATCAAAAACCGATTTCATCTAACCACCGGTCCAAGCCTCGTTATGGGAGCTCTACATCAGCCTGCGAACATATACGTGCCAATCCAATAAACCGGCGGTTCCAGGCCGGTCCAATTAATTTGGCTTGTTGGATTAGCCCTTTGTCTTTGTCCCGAAAGTCAACTAGGGGTATTCCTGTACATTCAAATAGCCGACTGTGTGAAGGATTTTTCCGTAATTAGATCCCGATATCAGTTTTTAGGCATAAAAACGGGGTCGATAGGTGAAAAATTAATCATACGCCTAATCCTAATTTTCGTCCCTTTTTTATTTAATGCCTATTTACGGGTTTTGGATCTCTCTTTAGAATTGGGATTTTAGATCCGTAAAAATAAATCCACTACATTGAGAGAAGTAAGAAGAAGCTCCAATTAATTTTTTGTTTTTTTGTTTTTTGTTTTTTTGAAAATAAAATTTCGAAACGACGCTGTATTCTGTGCCTCCCTTCCCGCCATGGCCGCACAGGTAGCTGAAACCCAGGCCTCTGCTTCTCAACAGTTGTCCCTTCATGCGCCGGAATCCGGCCCGGAGCTCGAAAGCCCGCTCGACAGTGCCAAGACACTGATATGTGCCCTCAATTTCCTCTCTCGCAATTTGCCCTTGCCCCAGCACGTATACGACGCCGTTTCCTCCATTTACGAGAACGCCTCCATTGACGGCGGCCATGACGCCCCCGCCGATGTCGATCGCGATGGAGAGGGTGACGACAGAGGCGGGGCAGCTTCGCCGCCGCCAAAGGTTAGTTGTCTGATTTTGGACTTCTGTATGAACTTTGAGTTTGGGCGATGAGTAAAAGTGAAGGTTTTCAGATTTTGGGTTGTTGTGTTTTATCGGTTAGTTGGTTTTGTTTTTTTTTACGAATTTGTGGTCAATTTTCTGTCGTTTCCTTTTGTTCTTTCAAAATTTTTAGGATTTTGGCGGCTACTTATTGATGTTTAAGACTACTCAGGATTGCATTTGATTGTTTCATTATTCCTTAGACCTTTTGTTTAGTTGTAGTTATGTTTAGCAGGTTAAGGGAGAGATTTATAGATTTAGAGCAGTATTCAGTTTATTCTTAATCTTTTCTTTCATTTGTAAGTTTCTTGAAATGCAGTAAATTCATTTGATCAATGGGTATTAATTAATTTCACTCAGAATTGAGGCTACTTGGGTTATACTCAATTGTTTTCAGTTTTGAGATTTTTGCTTCAGTGGTTGTTTGAAGGGGAAGATGACATTATTACTTCGTTATTTGTTTATTCTTTTCTTTGTAATTGATGTTGTGTAATTTCATATGATATGTTGAAAAGCTTTGAAGGTTGGTTATAGATATCATGGTAACTGGTTACAGTTTTTGTTAGGCTTCTGTGCATGTGGCTTGTTGTTTGTGTTGTTGAACAAGAAGAATTTGAGTGCTAGGTTTTTGAAATTCACGGTGATTGATATAAGCAGATTATTCACATAGATGTGATTGGGGTTGAGCTATCTAATTGTTCAGCGTCGAAAGTTTGGTGGTTTAGCATAGTTGTTTCGCTAAGAGGAAGATTGCAGCTTTTGGTTTACAGTAATCGCATCTTTTCGTCTTTTATTTCTTGGATAATTTTAGATTAATTGGAAACTTGGGGTTATTGATACTGGTAATTGAGTCGGTAACTATTCCAGCTTGAGTAGTTTAATTATTAAGATGGTTGTATTTTTGTTGTAGTGAAAATGTATAGAGAGGAAAGATCTACATTCTTGGTGTCTGTAAGAGTTTGGGTGTAAGCAGTAGACATCTTTGTGTATATTTTCTTTTTCTCTGTTTAATTTTCAGAAAAAAATCTATTACAACCTGGAAATTCAGTTACTAATTCTTGTTTGTTAATTTATAACTGAGGCCATTTGCATAGATGAATTAAGTTAAGCTTGCTACGATTCTTTTTAGAACGTTTTGGTTTGATGGTTCTTTGCTTTTTTCTACAATCTCTATATTTGTAATTGTTATGAATGAAGTTATTGATGCTGGTGGCTTGCTTACTGAGGAGTCTACTTGAGGCTTAATTTATCATATAAACTGTGTACCCATTTTTTTATATGATGGTCGGGTAGATATCTAGTATGTCATAGCGTTTCCTTCTGTTCGTTTTTTGGTTTGCCTATTCTTGTATCTTTTGTTCATCAATATATGCATCTGTATTATGAATTTTAGTTATCAAATCGCGTTTTCAATTCGTTGGGCATTAAGGTAAGTGCTTATGAATTTGGCTTTTAACAGCTCAAAGAACAAAAGCTTATTCATTTTGCTTTTCTATTAATCTGGCTCGACCTTTTGTTTTATTAGATCATATCTGTGGATCGCCAGCTAGTGGTAAAACATTTATAAATACCAAATCTATGTATGATTTCAATTCTTGCTACCTCCGATTCACAATTTTATGCTAGGACAGAATAAATTATAGATACAGTTTTGGTATCTTAGATAGTGTCTTGCCACTTCCACCAAAAAGACCTAAGCTTGAAACATGAATTAAAAATACGAGTTTAGCTTATGATGTAGTAGTACTTTTCTTATTTTTTTTAATTTTCTTATCAAATCCAAAAGAACGGAAATGTCATTTCTGTTACTTAAGTATTCAGTTTTTGAATTATTTTATATTTTAATTAAAGAATGAAGATAGTGTTTCTTAGGGTGCAATTGGATACTATTGAAAGGAATGTTTTTCATCCACCATTCAAAAAATGCATTATTCATCCATTTAACCTTTTTTACTGTTTTTCTTTCAATTTTTCCAATACAATTTTTAAAATTAAAAATCAACCATTACTATACATTTTCTATGAAAGTTATTATTCATTCACTCACAAATTTATAAATTATAACTATCAATGATTATTTACTATTTCTACCTCACTAGAATTGAATATTACTCTTTAAATCACATCATTTTACATTAATAAATTCATTAATTCTTCCACTAACTCTTCTTTTTCCAACATTTTTTTTTTCTCAAATTAAATATAGACAAAAGCATTCTTAGATTTCTTGATTTATCTTTTTGTGCGTGTGTGTTTTCTATCTGTCTGTTTTCCTTTTACTCACAGAAGATTGTAGATTCTAGTTTAGCCCCCACCACCGTTACACTTGATTTTCTAGGATGAGTAATTTCTCGGTTAAAATTGTAGGATTAACTTTTCTTTACCCTTTTAACCTTATTACGATCTCCGGTATATTCTGTTTCCTTTCCAGACTCTGCCAAAAGAGGAATCTGGTTTGTATTGTGGATATCCTGAAATGATTCTGTCTGTAATATTGCTCCCCTAATACTCAATTGGTACTCTAAGGCAGTAGTACAAATTGATGAAAAATTATTAAAGATTCTGTGATAGGTAAATTAGCTCCGTAAAATTGGGAAAGGTCGTTGTGGGGGAGATTAATATCATTTTTTTGGTTAGGATTTCGAATTGCTAATAAGAAGTTGATGAGCGTTAAAGTTGGTATGTGTGGACTTCTTTTTCCTTACTTTATGCAGTTATGTTATCCTGTTATATCCTCCTTGGGAGTCGCTTTTGTTTTATCAACACATTTATGTTGATCCAGTAAACGTTGGTGCAGGTTAATTCGGATGTACCTACTTACGATGAGTTAATGTTGGATTTTGAGGATGCTGTGCTGCAACAGAGATCGAGCTGTCTGCCTGGTTCGAGATTGTCGGACTTAAAGGAGAACAGATATCGGGGCCGGATTCAGCATCGGCTAAAGGAACTTGAGGGTAACTAACCATCTTTGAGAAAAAACAATTAATTCACCAGTCAATTAATTTTGCTGAATTTTTTTGACTCATTTATTGTTACTTCTGTTGATGCATAGATGCTTGTAGTCATGATCCTCGCTTCTTCTCTATTTTCCATTGAAAATTTGAAAGCACATGAAGCAAATACAGTGGTTGAGCTTTTGTATATGGATTTACTTTGTCTACCATGATACCAGGGTGTCGTATCTCTATTGTTTGACTTCCTCTGGTCTTGCCCAAATGAAATCTCAGTATTGTACATTGTTTTTGTGGTGAACTCTACTAATTTTAGCAAGAATGCTGGTTGTGTCACAATATGTAGTCTTTTGAAACATTTCCATGGTTGCTATGATCTTTTTTAGCCCTCAAAAGGCCTTTTCCATATGTTTTTATTTTTCACCTTAAGGATTTTTCACGTCATATACTGTAATGATACTTATATTTAATTTATTGTGTTTCCATTTTCATATTTGGAAAGTGTAGAATGAAAACCAATCATCATCCTTGTGTTCTATTAAAGATGTATTTTGAAATGGATTTATACTGTTTTAAAATCTGTGTACGTGATTGGTTTCATCAAAATATTTATGCGGGTTAGTGCAATTGACGATTCTGCTGTTAGGACTTATCACTTTCAGAAGTGCTGGAAATGAGGTTTGGAAGGGCAAAGATTAAAACTCAAATGACAATGACACTGTTTGGAAAAAGAATAAATTGTAAAACTAATTTTTTATAGCTCCTACTAGGTGCAAGATGAAAAAAAAAAGAAAAAAAAAAACAAAAAATGAGTTTTTGTGGTTTTTTGTTTACTTTCTCATCTTGAGCTGTTGTCGAACATGGATCCTTCAAGTTTTGTTTCAGTGGTATGTAGTTCTAGGGCCTTGTGCTGGGCAAACGGTTTCTAAGATAAAATGCCCTTTAGGAACAAATGGTCAAATAATGTTTCTGTCTACAGATTCTTTTTATTTGAAATCCAGTGACATTCTGCAGTTTCTTAAATAATTTACAACCAGTAATTTCGTAAAAAAACCTAGTCGGAAATCTAAATCCTGGTTTATCTCTTTTGCAACATCTGTTCAACACAATGCCTGCTTGCAACCAATGTTCAATTCTTTTCATCTTTTTCTTCCCCTGGAAAACAGAGTTACCCACAAGCAGAGGGGAGGAGCTGCAATCAAGATGCTTGCTCGAGCTTTACGGACTTAAGGTACAGTTGGTATCCCATACCAAGACACCTCTTGAAAATGGTGCGGCTTGTATGCCGTTCTCTATGGCTAAGCATTAGGTGCAATTGGTTCTAATTCTTGCTATACAAACGATCTTGTTTCTCAGTTAGCTGACCTCCAGAGCAAAGTGCGCTCTGAAGTGAGTTCCGAGTATTGGCTCCGTCTGTATTGTTCAAATCCCGATAAGCAGCTTTTTGATTGGGGCATGATGCGATTACGTCGTCCTTTTTATGGTATTGGAGATGCTTTTGCAGTGGAAACTGATGATCCCTTGAAGAAGAAACGGGATGCTGAGGTGCACTCTCTTATTATTTCTCTTGACGATTCTTTTTGTTTCATGGGCAGTTCATCTGCTTAGCAATTGTTATGTAAATGGCATCTGAAAGTTGCGATGTAGGGTGTCATTCCTCGAAAGCTTATGTATACTCTCTTGTGTCTTGCCACTGATGAGTTATTTTTTCCCATGCACTGTCAGCGGTTGTCAAGATTTGAGGAAGAAGAAAAGAATCGTATTGAGACTAGGAAAAGGAAATTCTTTGCTGACTTACTCAATGCTGCACGTGAACTCCAGTTGCAAATACAGGCTGCTCAGAAACGTCGGAAGCAGAGAAATGATGGTGTTCAGGCACAAACACTCGTCCTCAATTTTTCGTGTTCCTTTCTTACAAATTCCTTTCGCAAAGCACAAGTTTTCAAGTTTGTAAAATCTATGATTGATATACGTTTGGTTTCGGAAACGACTTGTGACTACAAAAAGATATCTTTTCATTCTTTTCTCTTTTCTCTTGCCAAATGGAAACTGCAGTACTCCTCATGTGCAATTAGTTTAGGGAAATCCTTTATTTTACCATTATATAATCTTCTACGAATTTGAGCTTGAGATTCTTATTAATAGACTCGATCAAACTTTATACTCTGTTGTGGCATATCATCTCTGTCTTTCTGTATACCTTGTCAACGATTAGAGGCTATAATGTAATCGCTACTATATTACCTTTCACGCAGGCATGGCATGGAAGGCTAAGGCAAAGAGCTACAAGGGCTGAAAAACTGAGGTTCCAAGCTCTGAAGGCTGATGATCAAGAAGCTTACATGAAAATGGTTGAGGAGAGCAAGAATGAAAGATTGACAATGCTCCTCGGAAAAACTAATGATCTTCTTGTTAGATTGGGAGCTGCAGTTCAACGTGAAAAAGATGCCGCACATGACAGTATCATCGAGCCACTGGATGTCTCGGACACTGATTTGCCCGAGCTGTCTACTTCTAAAGCTGATACACCAGCACAATCACTTCCAGATGAAGATGAAGAGGTTGATGATGAAATTGATAACAAAGCAAAGACGGGTGATTTACTGGAAGGACAGCGGAAGTATAACTCGGTTGTACACGCGATCCAGGAGAAGGTATTGTATGATTTTTTACTGTTTTTATTTATCTCTTGAGATATGTTCCGTAGGAGCATCTGTGTGGATCAGAATCAACTTTGAAGGTTTCTGACAATTCTAAGTTCAAGTTTCAGTGCAATATGCGAAAAAAATATGGAGATTTACTAAAGGAATCGTCACACATTATATTAAAAGTCGCCCCGAAACAGGGTGGGACTTGTCGGGATCTATGATTTGTTTTCCTTTTGGGTTCTCTTCCCTCTATTGAACTGTGTTCTTTATGCTGAAACCCATTATAACCGCATAAGGAAAACGGCTACGGCAGTTGCTACCTTTTCTTTTACTCGTAAACACAATCCATGCATTCACATTGTTGTACACTTCAAGAACTGGGGTATTCTCTTACTTCTATTTTATCCGGAGTTCATGTTCCTGGAGAGTATTATCCGCTATGTGAAACACTAACACACTAATTTTCTTCTTTGTAATTTTTAATCCAATGTGAAAGGGCATTTTATTGTAGGTCACAGAGCAACCGAGCATGCTTCAAGGCGGAGAGTTGAGGCAGTACCAATTGGAAGGGCTTCAGTGGATGCTGTCGTTGTTCAACAACAATCTGAATGGGATCTTAGCAGATGAGATGGGGTTGGGGAAAACGATTCAAACCATCTCCTTGATTGCCTATCTCATGGAGAACAAGGGCGTGACTGGACCCCACTTGATTGTGGCTCCAAAAGCTGTCCTTCCGAACTGGGTCAACGAGTTCACTACCTGGGCTCCAAGGTTTATATAGCATTTCAAATCTCTCATGAGTGTCAGTGTTTTTGTGAATTACATATTTTAAAATTTGATGATTTTTTCCCCCAGCATTTCTGCAGTTCTGTACGATGGACGTATAGATGAGAGGAAGGCCTTGAGAGAGGAATATTCGGGAGAAGGAAAGTTTAATGTATTGATTACCCATTATGATCTGATCATTAGGGACAAAGCCTTTCTCAGGAAAATACACTGGCATTACCTGGTTGTTGACGAAGGGCATCGTCTTAAGAATTATGACTGTGTTTTAGCACGGACTCTGGTTTCAGGGTAACATCTCTAGTACCTTTTGTTCTAGTATAATAGAATTGACATAATTATTGATTTTTAACTTGAATACTTTTATCTGTATGGGTGTTGTGGGTTCAATTTTACCTTGCTTGGCTTGTTATCCTTTTCTGTCCATCCTAAATATAGGCTTGTTTCGTTTAGTCTTTTAGGTTAAAGGACTTATGCACCCTATTTAATTTGTTTACTTTATTTGATTTTATTTGTTGGGTTACTAAAAGTCAATTGAATTTAATGCAATGGCAATTGAGGAAGAATTATATTCATAAGTTCTTATATTGTATATTTTTAGTCTATATGATTTTTCCTCCATGCCTATCTTAGGCAGATGGAGGGAGTATGTTGCTGTGTGATTTTGAAGTATGAACACTCTCTTTAGTCTAGATCTAGCTGGTCTATCTATTTATGATCCCCTCGTTCCAGTCATATAATATAGTTGGATGATTTGTCCCTCAGATCAATAATTTTTTTGAAAACTGTGGTCTAGTTTACTTTTTATTTTGAGTTGGTCTAGCTTAATGAAGTTTATTAGTTATGAAGTGGAAGTGATTCACACTAATTTTCCTCAGTTACCGAATTCGGAGGCGGCTTCTTTTGACTGGGACTCCCATCCAGAACAGTTTGCAGGAACTATGGTCCCTGCTTAATTTTCTCCTTCCGAACATTTTCAACTCGGTCGAGAACTTTGAGGAATGGTTTAATGCTCCCTTTGCAGACAAATGTGACGTCAGCTTAACTGACGAGGAACAGCTGTTAGTCATTCGCCGCCTGCATCATGTAAATTATTTTTGGTTCTTTAAATATGTGTCATTCCACATTTTTGTAAGGTCTGCTTTTCATGTTCTCCTTGTGTTATGTGTACCCAGGTCATAAGGCCATTTATTCTGAGGAGGAAAAAAGACGAGGTTGAGAAGTTTCTACCTGGTAAAACCCAGGTCATATTAAAGTGTGATTTGTCCGCGTGGCAAAAAGTATATTACCAGCAAGTGACAGAGCAGGGGAGGGTTGGTTTGGCTCATGGTGAGTTGTTTTTAATTTTAAGCCTCTCCCTTTATCCCCCTTATATAAACCATGGTTTTATTCTTATCTAAGTGTCATTCTCTAGTGCTTCAGATTCCTACGTATTCGTGTGTTCTTCGTAGTAGGCTAGGCTATCCATGTAGTTTAGGACGTAGGGTAGGATATTAATGTTGGTTAGGACTTGAGTTAGAATATCCATGTAGGTTGTAGGTTAGGACTTAGTACTTAGGTTCTGATAAGGTGAGGACTTAGGTTAGAAAATCCATGTAGATTGTGGTGCAGTTTTTAAAATAACTTTTGAAAACGTAACGCTTGGCTATCTTGATTATAAATGAGTTTTCTAACTATATAACATTTTTATTTGTTATCTGTTTTCTGCGCACGTGTCATTTTAAATAACACTAATGATGCAGTGTTTAAAATAACTAATGTATTAAAAATTACTGTGGTCCTGTGTGTTGCACGCTATGTCAATTTAAATTAAACTAATAATGCAATTATCAAACGGGTATCTGAAAATTTATAGAAAATCCTCGTTGCTTTTCTTTTGAACACTTCTTTTATGCATATATTTTTTAATGCAGACACTTGTGTACTACACAAGTGATCAGTTTCGTGTTGTACTAGTTTCAATCTTATCACCCACAGCATAAATTAACTGCATCGAATTTTGTTGTAATTTTAAGGATTTCAAGAAGATTTTTGCATCAGATATATATATATTGGAAAGTATATATGAAGTTGAGAATAAAACCATGGTTTTTTCAAGAATTCAAAATTATTTTTTTTTCGTTGCCAAATAATCTTTTGATTATTTGAAAAGTGCAAAAGTTCGACATATACTTTCTGTTTGTTTTTCATTTATTGGAACTGGTAACAAGAGTATCTTTAATTCATAAGGATAAGGGAAAAGAGAAAGCAATATCAAACAAGTTTTTAACTTTATATGCGTCAACAGTTTGGGCTACATAAGCGGCTGATTTATGATGCTCATGATATGTATGTTATTTTTAACCTTGCTGTAAAAAAATACTTATTAACATGGTCTGAAGTCTGAACTATAGTTTACCGACTTTGAAATTTGAATTACTGTTAGGGTTTTGTACAAAACCATAACCAAACAGCCAATTTACGGTTTCGGTTTACGGTTTGTAATCATACCCTTGGTCAACAGTTAACCGGGCCTTTGATCGGTGGTTTGGTTAAAAACCGTGAACATTTCTAATTCTGCTGTTCTTCCCAATCTCAACAAATACTACATGCCATATGAAAAAGGAACACAAAGTAAAAACAATAGTAAGGATAATAGTTAGTACTAATTATTTAAAATAAAATTAAAAAAATGAAAAACATCAATCTTCTCTATGTTCCATTTATTTTTAGGCAATCTCTTATGTGTGTGACATCATGAACCACATCCCAATAAAACAGAGTTTCCCCACTATCTGTTGAATAAGCACCTCTTTTCTTGACACTTTGAATTTACAGGTTCTGGTCGATCCAAAAGTCTCCAAAACCTAACAATGCAGCTCCGCAAGTGCTGCAACCACCCGTACCTATTCCTCGGAGACTACTTCTTGCAGCGTAGTGAGGAGATCGTCAGGGCCTCGGGAAAATTTGAGCTTCTCGATCGCCTCCTCCCAAAGCTCCACCGGGCGGGCCACAGGGTCCTCCTTTTCTCCCAAATGACCAAACTCATGACCATACTCGGTGACTATCTCTCCTTAAAGGGCTACCAATTTCTTAGGCTCGACGGGACCACCAGCACGGGCGACCGGGGGGAATTGCTTAAGCAGTTTAATGCCCCCGACTCACCTTACTTCATATTTCTCCTCAGCACGCGGGCCGGCGGGCTGGGCCTGAATCTGCAGACTGCTGACACTGTTATCATTTTTGATAGTGATTGGAACCCTCAGATGGACCAGCAGGCGGAAGATCGGGCCCACCGGATCGGGCAGAAGAAGGAGGTGAGGGTGTTTGTGCTCGTGAGCGTGGGGTCCATCGAGGAGGTCATTCTTGAAAGGGCCAAGCAGAAGATGGGTATCGATGCAAAAGTCATCCAGGCAGGACTGTTCAATACGACCTCCACAGGTTCATTATTATACTAACTTATGCAGTTGATATAATACCGCATTTTTTCGTTTCTCCTTTGTTACGCGGATCATATGTGGTATAAAAGTATCTGAGCTCAAGTCTATTTAAGAAAACAAAATATCACAACTATTTCCCAAATGAAAAACTCTCTTGGGTTATGTTTGATTAATCGACCCACTAACTCATTTACACATGCAGCCCAAGACCGAAGAGAGATGCTGGAGGAGATCATGCGCAAGGGAAGTAGTGCCCTGGGCACGGATGTCCCGAGCGAGCGGGAGATTAACCGGCTGGCAGCCCGCTCGGACGAGGAGTTTTGGCTTTTCGAGAAGATGGATGAAGAACGGAGGCAGCGGGAGAATTACCGGGCCCGCCTCATGGAGGAGCACGAGGTCCCTGACTGGGTTTACACAATCCCGGACATCAATTCTGCCAAGGCCAAAGGCTCCTTACATCCTGACAATATCCCTGTTACTGGCAAGCGCGTCCGGAAAGAAGTTATCCGAGATGACACCATTACCGAGTCCCAATATATGAAGGCTGTCGAGATTATTAGGGATGACGGTGGTAAAAATCCTTCCAAGAGAAGACGAGAGAATACTATTAATATCAATAATAATATTCATAATTATATCAATAATAGTAGTAATAATAACCCACCACCCGTTCCTAATAATGAACTGGCTGGTAAGAGTAATAGTACTCTCAGTGGGGAGAAAAGACTTGTGATTTTGAAGAGGGAGACGGTTATGTTCGGGAGTGTGGGGAAGGGCGAGGATGGGTTTGGGTCGGTGTCGAAAAAGATTAAGCCCGAAGCAGAGAGCTCGAGTAAAAGCGGGCCTGAAAGTTTGGAGAGCGGGTTGAATGGCTTGACTTGGAGTGTGCATAAGAGGAAGAGGTCAAGTTTGGCATGATATCATGTGAAGGATGGTTTTATCTTTTTTCTTTTTCTTTCTTTTTTTTTCGATGGATTTTGGACTTGGCGGGGTTGTCGTCCGATGTGCCTGTTTGGGTCCGTTGGCGGTCTGTAACGGATGTAGTTCGGCTTTAAAGCTGTAATATTCTTTATTTGGTAGGCCTCTCTGCTACACACTGATTGTTTGTAGAATTAATTCTTTTTACTGTAATGTGTGTTAGATGGATGTTAGAGTGCGACAGCCTATATTTGGATTATGATGGTGATATGAAAATCATGGTATGAGCTAATCTCATGTATGTCTATTTCTGGAGAGAAACAAGTCTGGGAATAGCTTAAAAGAGTTTACCCCATTTGAAATACTAAACTGAAAATATATTACAACTGTCTGTTAGTTTAATTTTAGTTTTTGTAGGTAATATATCCAATTAATTCGTTTTTAGTATTTTCGGATTGAGATTGTATTGATTGAAAAATATAAAAAAAAATGCTGTTGTATTAATATAAACTAGTGGATATTATGTGCACATGCAGAGATGTACATAAAATATTTTAAGTAATATTTGAGAATTTAATATTAAAATTCTAGATAATGAACATGTTACATTTTAAAAAAAAAAATGATCATTAGGAAAAATAAATTAACGATTTTATTATTATGAACAATTGTTTATTATCATTATATAATAATATGTTGATTATATTATTATTATTATTATTATTATTATTATTATTATTATTATTATTATTATTATTATTATTAAGAAACAATTGTTTATAAGATTCTAAAGTTGTTTGACTATGCTATTAAAATAATTTACTTATTATTTTTAAAGAAATGTTTTCATAAAATACAAAAGGAAAAGATAATATTGATGTTAATATAAATAACTTGAAACAATTGTTTATAATTATGTAATTTATATTTATTGTGAATTATTATTAGTTGGTATTAGCAATAAGTATTATATAATATAATAGAAAAAATACATTATTAAAATTAATAGAATGCATTATGTGAGAAGTAAAAAAATATTAATGATAGATTTTGTAACCGAAAATGGACAGAAATTTTTAGAGGTTTTATTAAATACTATATGCTAGAAATTATATATACTAGTATTCATCATGTGCACATGCACAAAGAAAAATAAAAATTTATATATTATATTTATGTATACAATATATACAAATTTTATATTAAATAATTGATTTCATTTTAAATTTGGACTAAATGCAAATGTGTAATGTGAATATAATTTATTTAATTTACGTATGAATCTTTATATTGATGCCATAAATTTTAATGGCTAATATAATTTAGTAATTTAGAGAGACCATACAATTAATTAGTTAGAAAAGTATTACAATTATTTTTATCATTGTTATAGCATCGTTTATGTGATTTTAAGGTGTTTAATTATGACACTCATGCCAATTAACTAATTATATAAAATCGCTTAAAAAGAACAGAAATATTTTATTTTAGAAAAAGTATTTTAAAGAAAAAAATTGCATAACTTCCACATACTATTTCATGTAAAGTTGTAATCAATGTTAGTAGTGAATAAATTATATTAAAATTATGATTATACTTTATTAATGTAAAATGTAACGGTTCTACATTAATTGAAAAAATGAGCGGGAAAATGAATGGAGGTTTTATTAAATATTTTATTAAATGCTATATGGCAGCAATTATATATACTAGTTGTAACCTGTGCATTTGCACAGAAAGCTATTTGATAAAGAATAAAATAATAAAAAAAATGTAAACAATAGTAAAATCATAACATAATCATTGAAAAAAATGTTTTAAAAAAGAACCTTTAAAGGTACCCTCAAATCTAATTTTATGATTTTGAGCCTAGGAATAAGAACCTTATCACCAGCTCTGGCACTGGTTCTTATTTTGCATTCGAATACACAGTTGCTGAGCTTAGTAATAACTATTCGAGTATCGGCTGATCTCAAAATTCGGAGAACAAAAACATATCAATCGAATTGTACACTAATCAAAGAAAATATAAATGATAGATAAGAATTTTATGGGCTGCCAATTGAAGTGCACCCTTTATCGTTGGATGCGATTACCATTTGTCATTGTACCGGTTATCTTGATATCTTCATAACTATCAGTTGCAACCCAAGTGGCCTGAAATCAGCCGATTCTTTTCTGAGAGGAACCTCAACCCTGAGGACCGTCTAGATATAATTGTTTCGTGTCGTCAATGAGCTAAAAAATAATTATTATTTTAAATAAGTAGTTTAAAAAAATCTAAATATTTTTTTTATATGTATAAACTTTCTTATATCCTTTAGTTATTATTAGTTATTATGCAATTATAAATTATATAATTTAATTAATTAATGAAAAATGTAACAATTTCTTTTTACAATTAGTTGAATAAAAGGCGCTGATTTTATTTTTGCAATAAATTCTTTGTCAGTAGTTATATATATAGGAATATAAATATAATCATAACGGGTATGATATTTATTTAAAATATATTTATTATCCTTACTACTACTATTTGACGCTATGAATTTTATTTAAACGAATGCATTTTCTAAAAAATTAAACGCTACTACTATTTGAGGCTATGAATTTTATTTAAACGAATGCATTTTTTAAAAAATTAAACACGTTCTTATGCAACAATAAATTGCTATTTATAAGAATGATTGTTTTATTTTTATTTTCTATTTTTGTATTATACCCACAGGGTTTGGTAGAATAATTTGTAATTTTTCTATTTAAAAAATATATAGAATAAAAGTTAGAATTATTAAATGAGCGGATAAAACCGTAACAATTAATTTCAACATTAGTATGCTTGCATATTAAGTAAAAGCGAAGCTACTAATGTAAAAAGAAAAAAAAAAGAGTGGAATATGTAAATATTTACTGATGTGATAATCTCTATTTTATATATATATATAGATTGTTTTAAATTTTAATTAGCTTTTATTAGATGTCATAAAAGAAAATAAAAAGATGAAAATACCATTTAAAAGAGTAAAACGTTACAATGTATAATAATAAATGTACAATAATAATCCTTAATTGTAAAAGTAACGTTCATTTGTATATGGAAGGTTGTAGTATTTATTTGGTATAATTTATTAGGTAAAATTAAATAGGTTTTATTTATTAGGTTTTATTAAATGATTAGCTAGCAATTATATATATATAGATATAGATATAGATAGTTTACGAAGTATTACTTGTATTGTACATTATTATTCAAAGATAGAACTAATCATATAGTTTTTATATGAATAATTGAACTTGGTAGATTATGAAGTGATTTAAATAACACATTTTTTACTTGTATTTCCTATGTTGATATGTTTCTTAGCTTAAATTATTTGGGTTCAGGGCCTACAAGTAACATTGTACTCATTAAAAATATGTATTGTCATTTGAAGTTAGTTATCTATCGGATTATATTTATTCCCAATTTTTTTCTTTTTTAAAAAAAAGTAATTTATTTTATTGTTGTTTGTTGTGCACATTATTTTTATTTTTAATCAATAATAAAAAATTTAAAATGTGATTTAAAATGAAAATTGAGTTGTTTCTATTCTTTCTATTTTGTAAATTAAATATAGATTAAAATTTTAAATATGAAACAAAAATAAGAAAAAAAAAGTTAACAATATTATTCAACATTGTCGGTTGTATATATTATTGAACTCTTATTTAGAGAAATGTCATGTACTATATAATTATATATTATACATATAAAATGAATAAAAAAATTTATGTCAATTAAAACGGTTCGACCAATGTCCCGGACTGGGGGTTGGGCTTGAAAATACTTAACTGGAACCGGCTCGGATGTAGGTACAAACCGGTTCACAGGACCTTCGGTGCGGAACCCGCCCGGTTCACAGCAAAATAAATAAATAAATTGAACGTCTGGCCCGTCTACAGGACCGGTTCCTGTCCCGCCTGCTGTGTCAAAAAATATACATATATATATATATATATATAAATACAGGAGGCTTGGAACTGGCCAAGTCAAACTAAGGGCTCGGGTCCAGGCACGTTGCCACGGGTCAGTTACCTGCCCTGGGATGTTTCGAGTCGAACAAGCTGGCCGGCTCAGCCCGTGGCCATGACTAGAGGGAAGAAAACAGTATAAATATAAAATATAGTTACAATATGATCAAACTTAAAAAAATTAAATTATTGAGTTACTAGTAATACATGTGTGTGAGTGTGTGTGCGCGCGCACGGGTAGAAAATGTATCATTTTGACGAATCGAGTATACAATATGCTTATTATTTTAAATTAGTAACTTTATTATTTTTTAATTATTATTCGTATTATTAATTTTTTAGCATTCTATTATAATAATGTAATTTTTTCACTTTTTTACTTTGATAAATATATTTAATTCTTAAGTACCCGTGTTGTTCACTGGCGTTATATTACTGCGTATAAATTAATTATTATATTTAATTTTGACAAAAAATAAATATATTTACTTAAATAATACTTCATAATGATATTTTCTAGGATCGAAAATATTATTCATAAGATTACTTTCTTATTAATTATTTATAGTTACTTCATAATAAGAAGTTTAATTCTTTTCACTTTTTGTTGGACAATAAGTTTTTGTTTTTATGAAAAATCCGTGTAGTTCACGGGTAATGGTATCTTTAAGTGCGTTAATTATACTTTAATAATATTTCCTATTGTAAACATTATTTATAATATAAAATTTTTTCCAATCTTGCTTTTAAAAGTATAACAAATTTATTATTTTAAATTATAAATATACTAAAAAATTAATATTTTTTTTATTTATTAACAAATTTTTATATATAGTGTATCAAATTAATGATGTCTTAATTTTATTTATCTTTATAATATAAATTAAATTACCAATTAATATTAATTTGAAAAAAATAAAATTATTTAAACAAACTTATATAAATTAGAAAATATATAGATAATATAAGATGGTAGGTACTGTAAGTGATTTTATCATTTAAATATAAAAATAATATATTTTTTAAAATGTATTTAAAATCTAAAATAATTTTTGTTGTTATTATTATTTAAATTTCAAATATAATTTCTTAACAAATACACATATAGTACACATGTATTTTACTATAGTGAAAGCATATAAAGTAAAGAATCACTGAACCTTTTTTTTTTTTTAAACGAAACACCCCAAAGGATGGGGATTAAGGCAGAATCTCCAACCTATATATAGCCAAAACTCTAAATGGGCTGAAGTAAACAAAGTTCTCCACAGATCCACCCAAAAACTGAAAACAAAAAACGAGAAATGAAAAAAACAGCCAAAAAGGGAGTCTGGATTTGAGCTAGAGGTGTCTAGGCGAACAGTCTGATCCACAAAATGATTTGAAACAAAAAAAAAAATACACAAAAAACTAAAAAGCTACCAAAATCTAAAAGAGGGTAGCCGCCCTGATCCATCCGCACAAGAGTGTGGAGGCGAAGCGGGGTTTCGTCTGGGCCAAGAGTGCACCTCTGGAGAGTGGAGGTACCGATGCTGGCAAGAAAATCAACTAGTCGATTCCCCTCTCGAAACATGTGCTAGATCCGGTGGCGAATCACTGAACTTTAAAACATCCATTTATAATCACGACCCCAAAATTAGTTTTTTTTAATTATGGTTTTTTTTGTGTGTGTAATTTTTCTACCATATTGATTATTTTATTTTTGGGTGTATTCGTTATGGATTTAGAGTGACATTCTGAGACTTTTTAAGATTGGATTTTTTAAGATTTTCATAGTTTGGTAGAATCTTATGAAATCTTAAGTCTGAATGTGAGATTTGGATTGCGAATTTGTATTTTATTTTGAAATCATGCAAATTTTTTTAAATAATCATAACAAATGATTGTCTCAAATAAGTTAAACGATCCATGATTTTGTAAGACATTTTAAAATCTCGACTAAATACTCAAAACTTTTAAAAGTCCTTAAATACACAAACATCTCTAGAAAAGTCTTTAGAAATCTAAAATGAATACACATTTCACGTATTAATCATCCTCAAAAAAAAAAATAAATAAATAAATAAATCATGCCCGTAAGATTACAATGAAGATAGGTCGGTAAATTTAAATTTCAATATTTATTACCCCTTTATTTATTTTTTTCGCCCGCAAGATCACAATGAAGATAGGTTGCTAATTTAAATTTCAATATTTAAAACCTTTCCACTTGCAATGGTAACAAGTGGCTTAAATTTGGGTTTGTAGTTCTTAAAGCTATCCATTCTTAGAAAGGGGTGTCGTTTGTTGAAGCCAATAAATTTTGATTTAATTAATACAAAAGAATTAATTATTATTTCCAAAAATAAATGACATAAATAATAATAATAAATAAAAAAATGTTAACAAAGACCCAATTGACAAGACATCCCAACTCCCTTACTTTAGATTTCCACCAACAAATTTTAATTTATTTATTTGAGAGTTTTTTTTTTAGTATAGGGACCTCTGATTTTCAGATCCATAAGAAAACCGATTCGGAATCGAGCCGGATAGGATCACAAGGGCGGCAAAACTCTTTTTCAAGAGTTTTAACACTGTTGCATTTTTAGGGCTCGAACACGAGACTACTGGTTAAGCTGAAAGAGACCCAAGTCATCTCATCCAAACGCTCTCGGTTATATTGAGAGCTTTTAGAAGCATTTAAATCTGGGGTTCCCATTTTTTCTGTTCATCCATTTTAGGAAATTCATGTGTTTGACTGAAAATATGTCAGTAAAGGCCACGCAAAACCTATGCCGTCCGCAGGATAGTCCTTCAGTTACGTTGGCTTTTAATGCCATCAACAACTATGAAAGGACAAGTCTCTATATCACTAAAAGTAATTGATGTTAGTTGCACCTTAGCATTGGAGTTTTAGGGTTGCCTCAAAGTTTTTTTACCTATGCAGACGAACATTTGGCTATGTTTGATAGACACATAAGTTAGCTTATTGTTTATTTTGTTAACTTATAATAAGTTTCCTGTATTTAAATAAGATTCGATTGGCAGGATGAACTTTTTTTGAAAAGTCGGAGCTTATCTCGTAATAAGCTTTTTTAGGTAGCTTTTCGAATAAGTCCGTTGAAATTTTTATTTCAGCTAGCTTATCGGTTAATTTTACTAAACAGTTTTATCTTATAAGCTAGCTTTTCAGCTATAAACTATAAGTTCGAAAATTATTGATAAGTTATAAGCTAGCTCATCAACTAATTTTACCAAGTGATATGTTTGGTAAAACTAGCTGATAGCTGATAACTTATCAGTAAATTTCGAGGTTATGACTATGTTTGGTAGACAAATAAGTTAGCTTATAATTTATTTGATTAGCCTATAAAATTCCTGCATTTGAATGAGTTTCGTTTGGTAGGACAAGTTGTTTTAAAAAGGCCGAGTTTATTTCATAAGTTTCTTTGGGTAACTTAGACATAGTCACTCGCCGCGTCCGGGCCCGGCCCGCCGGGTTGACGGGCCTCAATTGTTGGGCGCATAACTGGCCCGCCAATTCCTGCGAATCGGTTCATTTGAACTGGCCCGACCCGGTGGTTCATCGAACCGCCGGGTTAAAAAAATTAAAAAAATGAAATAAAAAAACAACTATGACTCGTCGGAAAAACCGGAACCGGCCCGGAATTGGTCCCAGCCCGGTGGGTAAAAAAACAAAACAGGAGAACCTTAACCGGACCGCATTGGCCGCGGTTCAAAAGCCCGCCACTGTTCATGCCGGTACCGGTGCCGATTCGGTCTGGGCCGGTACCGGTTTACGGGTCGGGTCACGGGCCGGTTCGGCCCGTGACCATGTCTAGGGTAACTTTTAAAATAAGCTCGTTGAAATTTTAATTTTAGTTGATTTATTAGTTAATCACCAAATATTTTTTTATTATATAACTTAGTTTTTCAGCTATAAGCCAATTTTAAGCTATAATAATGAATTTGGCTGACACCTTTGTTATAATAAGTGGTTGTGTAAAGATGAAAATCCACATACGGTTTAATCTAATTTGGAGAAAGACTGCAACTCTTTTTTAAAGAACAAAAA